TCTAACGACTCCAAATGAATCGCTCTCATTGGACACGAAGGGAATGAAGAACGACGGGAAGATCTACAACTGTCCGCGAATAGAGCTAGAAACTGAAACCGAGTGCGGTTATTCGCTACCCAAGATCATATCGGGCGACGTGGATCAGTTAGAAAAGCCTGACAACCCTGAAGAGTTGTATGCAGCGATCAACAAAGTTGGGATCTCGAGGAAGAACGAGTTTCCTGTTCCAGATGAGGTATGGGACGTGTCGGACGTGAAGAAGTCGTTACACAAGGTAGATCGACTTCTCGTTATGTTTTTGCTAATGTAGGCAACAATTTTTGTCGTTTAAAATGAGCACTAGGCTTTGGTGTCGTTGATACTATACAATTCACATTCGGTCATTAATTTTCCATCAGAGACTATTAATTTGAAAATCATTAACACGTTCGTTGCCGCGTCACCGATATCTAGGCGATGGGTATGCTTCCGTGGGTGCCCCTCATCCAAATATAGGTGACGCTTTTCTTTTTCAAGTTAAATAGAATTTTCAGTTGGATTCTTAAAAAGAATTTAATGGAATAAGCACTGAAATATAAATATAGGATATACAACATAAAAATATGAAAAATATACATATTATACTATACTTTTTACTAATGCTGCTGCGTGGAAATGGAAAATTGTAAATAGGGTTCGTTGACCAATATCTAACGAGCGATGTCCAATGGGACTGGACCCATCCAAATCATCAGTCCAATAAAGTTCTAGCGTTCCGACAGTCGGATATGGGCCCTACGAAAAACTCAACCGAATCGCGCTGGGTCCAAAGATGAACGTGTTAATGTTATTATCTCAGTGAGATTTTTATCATATTATACAGGGTGTCTTTGAAGTTACAGTACATCCGGGGTAGTGATTTTATATGCATAACAAAGTCGAAAAAGAAAAGAGTAACATTTTGTCACCTGTCTCATTTATGGCTTTATTTTAGAGATGTCTTAGGTATTCATGAATTAATTGAGTGGAATCAATACTTGGCCAATTGAACCACAATTTTGAAAACACCCTACCCTATATGGTAGCTATATCGTGCAATATGATAATATGTATAATATATCAACATATAACATACTTCAAGATATATCAGTATATATTATCAGTATATATGAGCCGTTTATTTTGAAAATGGCGTAAGTCCATTTATGTTCTAATCGAGAGGCGCTCTTCAGTCGCCATTTGATAAAATTTCGAAGCTCGATATTCATTAATATGTCAAATTTAAGATAATGTAACGGTGTGCGAGGTATCAAAATCGAATAATTCTACGTGTTGTACATTACTACATGACTTCTTATTTACTGCTCAAAAAATATCGTCAGCTTTATAGCAGGAAATCTTTGAACGCCTACTTTTCTATAGCCAAAAAATCGTCGAGTGCAAAGGGTTAAATTTAAAAATATGAGTAACAGATAGCATAGCAGAATAATGTTTTTGGGTTTCCAAAGGTGTCAAATTTATCATCTCAATTAGGACTTACGCCACTTTCAAAAGATTCTTCATTTGTTAAGATTTTTGTTTTATTTTTTATTATTGTTACTACTCAATTCCAAGTATGTTGCAAATGATTTTACAAAACAGATTTAAATTTTTGATATAGGGTGTCTAATTGTGCATTGAGCAGGTTTCCTATTATTTATCAGCTATGATCGATATTTGTTTCTCGCTTTTATTTTAAACGCAGTATGTTTTAGGTTGCGAGATTAGAATTAAGATAACGACTGAGATACTTTTGCTGGTGTTTCAGATGAAGACCTCGAGTTTACCGAATTACGGAACATCCAGGCAATCTGGCGGTTATCGCACACCGAGTTTACCACGTCGTCTAGGGGTGAAAATGGGAACGCGAGCGATCTACAGCAGCCTCGTGCAGAAAGACACCGCTCTTACCGACGACATGGAGTCGCTATCGCTAAAATCAGACACGGAATCCTCGATTCAGTCGTTGTCTGCCCGATCCACGGAATCTCCTCTACCGGAAGCATACGTACTCAGTTAGTAACCTTATTTAAAAACCGTCACTCGTTGAAATATTTTCAAATACATTTCTATTTCAATTTTTCTTAACTACGAAATTAAACTGAATTTCATAATAATTCACAAATATTCATACTTCATACCTAAATTTAAAATTTCCTAATTCTGCTTGCTCCAAGTAACTCATATTTATTTCATTAGAGACTTTAATTAATAAACTATTTAATTCAAATTTATATTTACATAATTAACACATTATCTAACTCCCTAAAAATAATTCAATTATTCAATTACACTTTCCCAAATGTATACCTCAGAAATAATTAGAAAATTCTTCAAAAAACCAGACAAAACAAAATATAAATAAAGATTTGATTAAAGATGTTAAAATATATTAAAATAAGCTATATTTATTTATTAATTTATAATTATTTGGAATTAATTACGTTTACTAAGGTATACAATTAAATTTGTAAGTTCCATTTGCAAGTAATTATTATAATATCAAGTATCAAATGTAAAATATTAAAAATCGTGCAATTTTTATCCAACAGATGCTGACATTCGCACAGACGACGAGACATTTCGCGTTACCGAGGACGAATCGATGTCAGTTTCCTTAGCAGCACGTCTCGAGGAATTGTCGTTCGCTGAAGAACGAATCCTACAGACGATTAAGTTGGAGAGAGGCCACGGTGGCAGCATAGGGTTGCAAGTGACAGAAGGTAACGACGGTGGCGTCTACGTCCAGGCGGTATCCGTCGGAGGATCGGCCGATATGGCCGGAAACGTGAACAAAGGTAAGCTCGTGGCGCCGTTTTTCACCTCGTCAGCATTAATTCGACGAAATTTATTGCTCGCAGGTGACCGTATCGTCGCGATAAATGGACAGAATTTACTGCACTTGCGGTACGAGGACGCTCTGAAGATGCTGCAGAGCTCGTCTGATACGATCGAGCTGGTCCTCTCTCAGGCTACCTCGAGGAAAAACGCTACCTCTAGGCAGAATCACGAACAGCCCGCGGAAAATAACTATTTAAAGTGAGTATAAAGAAGTTCTTTCCTATTTAATTTTTTCTTTTAATTTTTATCACATGTGCTTCTCATCTTATCAATTGTAGATTTGAAAACAAGGGAGAACATGATGGGTCCCATCATTTTTCGGATTTTATGGAACGGCTGTTTTAAGATTCAATATGCTGTTAACCCACTGTAACTGAATTTTTCTTTGCATATAATTAAACAAAAATTGTAATACTGATTAAATTTTTGTATTTTAACACGTTTCGTGAAACGTGTATCATTTGTCATACACGTTAAACTTGATCTGCAGGCCACGTATACCATAAACGTGTTTTATGACAGATTTAATTCTGTAAAATCAGAATATCAATTTTTGAAATTTAAAATCAAGAATGGCTTGACAGGGAACGTGTTAATAAAAGAATTTTAAAGGAAGAATCCAGTGATTGGTACAAATGGATCACTTAACAATAGTACATTGGTATAATGAATGAAAAATAGCACAGTAATGGAGATGCAAAATAATTTTTGAAATATTTGTAAAAATCTAGTGAATAGACAGTATTCTAATTTTTAATTTATATAAAGTTACAGAGGGTTAACTTATATTAACACAGAACTATATGTTTATCCTATTTTAGGATTATGTATGAATTTTCTGACACCCTGTAGAATAGTTGAAAAGTATTAATTAACATATTATTAGCAGTGTTGTTGGTTCTTACAAAATTCTCTGGCTTTAAGAGACTATTGGATTTTTGTCATATTAAAATAGACAAATTAATATAACAAGTTAACATGCCACATTAAAAGGAACCATCTTGTATGAAAATAATTCCTTCAAATTTATTCAACATATTTTCTCTAATTAAATCAAACACGTAGTTGCTCTACTTCGTTATGCAGATAATAACACAAGCATTTCCAAGATTATGTGTGATCATTTTAGAAATGTGCACTCAATGTTGTAAGTAGAATGTTGGTTATTCTAGGTATGTTAATTCCTCTCGAAATTTGAAATTCTCTAGATATTATGTACCAACCTCTAGACACTCGCTATCAAATATAATATAGAACAGAATGCAGTGAAACCTGTGTCTGCAATTACCAAATGACTGTATTTTGCTTGGTCAGGAAGTCCACTGCATAGTCAAGTAAATTAAATAGAATCCTTTCAAAATATCTTTAAAATATCACATAAAAATACAAACCAAAAATATAATTTAAATACAATGCATTATGCAAAAATCTTATTATAAAATGCGATAAAAAGCTTATTTTACTGAATCAAACATTGAAACAAGTTCTAATTACCAGTATGGAACTGAACTAGATCAACCAGACCTAGAAAGGGTGTCAATGTGATATAAAAGAATAACTTTACAGTACCTCATTTGACAATGTGCTTATTGATTTTCCAAGCGAACTTTAAAAATACGCGTTCATTGATTTCAGCGACATCAGATTCGACATGTCCTCGGAAGCGGATACGTCGAGCATGACAAACAAATGGCTCGTTCAAAGGACCACCGACGTTGCATCCGTGCAAAACACCTCGAGCGCATATAGCAGTGCTGCATCGAGCGCAATGGGTAATCACAATGCAAACAGCCTATACATGGCCGATCTCGTCGATAATGGTGCACTTAAGTCCGCCAGTATGCTGCTCAGTATAGAGGACTTCGACGTCAGCAGAACAAGTCGCCAAGTTTTTATTTAATCGTCGATAAACAAGTTAGTAGTTACCCTACAAACGCACTTTTATTCAAACGCTGCCTTTGTTCCCGTACTTTTAATACTTGGGTGTGATGAAATGGTTACGTGTCATTAGTTCAAACGCATTGTTCAAACATTCAACTGAGAACAGTACCACACATTCAATTCAAGTGGTACGACATACTTTTTAAAAGTATGCATACTGTATACTCTATAGAAAAGATGTGAACATATTTTATGTGGCTTGAACATGTTCATAAGGAGACATCAAATGGATAATTGAGTGTATGATTGAGTGCATGAGAGAAGGAAAGTTAACAGTGATTCAATTAATTAATTTAAATAAGCGTACAAAGCTGTGTTGGAAATATTAGTCGTTTTGAATGTCTAATTATTCTATATATTTATAGCAGTTACTTAGGTGTGCTTCATATGTGAATTTCTCACGAATCCAAACATGATAGTTGAAACTCTTGCAGGATAATTTTTCAATAAGGAAGATACCTTTCAAATCTAAGTTATTTTTACAAATTCTGACATAAATTATTAATAGTGAGACTTGATCTTCTTCACAAGTATAATGCATTTTGGTTTTACAGTTTTCTGTAATATGTTTTCAATATTCATATTAAAATTGCAAGGTAGAGGTCTCCCTAAAATCTTCCAGTTGAAACTCTTGCAGGATAATTTTTCAATAAGGAAGTACCTTTTAAATCTAAGTTATTTTTACAAATTTTGACATAAATTATTAATTGCGAGACTTGATCTTCCTCACAAATAAAATGCACTTTGTTTTCACAGCTTTATTAAATTTTTCATATAAAAATTGGAAGGCAGAGGAAGATTAAAATTTTTGAGAAAATATATAAGGTATTAGAACAGAATGTAGCTTTCACTTATAAGCAAATAATCGCATATTTAATACGGAATACCTGAGAGGAATATTGGCAATTTTCAGGGATGACCTTTCGCTTGGCCTTTAAATTTCGATTCTCCAATCAACGTAGTAGGTGCTTGTACGTACAAAATCCTATAGAAAATACCATTAAGGCCATTATGTCCATTATGTCGAACGTGGCTGCATCGACTACGTAACCTAATCGAATTGTTTTTATCCATTTAACGGACGAAGCCTTGCTCAGAGTTCCAGGCGGCACCATTTGCTGCTCTTTCTATTTGCGCGTTTAATACGAACTGTCACGTCAGTCTTGTCCTTTATCTGGCAAAGGAAGATTAGAGTTCTATCTTGGACAACGATCTTCCACCGATGAGACTTAATTTACGATTTTTTTCGATTTACTTAGCGCGGTTCATCAAACTGATCTTAGAGGCCAAAAAGAAAAAGCACGGTACCCTAATCTTAAAAATTACCCACGACGATAAAGTGACTACAAATATTAGCTTCCGACCCTAACTCGTTAAATTAAGCTCATCACGTTAATTAAAAACATTTTCCGTTAAGTTCACTTTTTAATTCTCTCACTTCATTTGTCACGGATCTTTAAACTCGGTAATTTGCATATGAATGAAAACAGGAAATGAGATTTAATCACTAAAAGTGTAAAAAGAAAGTGTCAAACATTTTATGTTAGTATATATTAAAATACCTTAAAAAAGAATTCAGTTTCAATATTTAGTACAGGAACATCTCATCATTGACAGTAAAATAAAAAAAAAATTCGATTCTACGTATCGAGGAATATATGGAGCCAGTGACACGTTAACCCAAGAAACGATCTTACCAGACGCGAACACGATATCTGTCACCCTGTCACATCCGGAAGCTAGATCGATTTTAGAATTTCGCTTGTCGTCTCATCAGGGTCTTCTTTCATTCAATAGGAAATTTAAACTTGGCAGCATTAGTGAATCACTGTTATTGACTTGGCGGTAAAGAGAGGGGCAGAGGAGTCTGTCATTTCTAGGGAATCACCTTTAGTATCCCTCGGACGGTCTAACATCGTGGTTAGCCACGCGCTTCTATATTCCGAATTTTCCTCGAAAACATCCGCGAATCGTGCTCTACGTATCGAAACAGTGCCAAAACGCGAATCCCACGATCGTTCCCAGGTTTCTAAAACGAAACGTCTCTCTCTCCCATTATCGATATTACCGAGTGAACAGTCTACTTGGATACGTTTACCGAGCCGTGCGACAAAATCGAAGCTCGAGACTGACGAAAGTGACAGGCCGCGTGAGGACAGGACGATAGAGTCACGACTTCATCGACATTCGCCAGTGCGATGCACACCAACGCTCGATCAATCGTTGTTTCAGGCGCAGAATCTGCCAGCAGCACACCGCCAGTCCCACCGAGACGGAAGAAGCGCAAAGCGAAGCCCGCGGCAATTGCAAGATCTCCGGAAGGGATGTCACCGACGCGTCTGAGGAAGTCAGACAGAAAACGCTTGGCGCCACAGCCGCCGCCGCTGCCGCCGCGAGCAATCCGTAGGATCAGATCTCACGTCGCCAGAGATCAGCCAGAAGGAACGACGTTGAACGCGCCGACAGCCGACGATGCGGAAGAAACGCTAAATAGCCTAAGTTCCAGCGAGACGGGAGAGACTCAGTCGTCTGTGCAGCTCGAGGATGCTGACTCGGTGCGAAACGGGAGGACCAGCAACGACGAGGATGATTCGGACGACAGGTGCGGTCCAAGCCGTGTCACGAGCTCGCCGCAAGAACGTCCGTTTCTCTTCGAGACTTATGCAAGGAAAGAGACCAACAAGTACCCTCCTCTGTTCTTCACCTTGCACGACTTCCAGAACGTGATGTCCAACACTCTACAACACGAGGATGACACGGACAGTAAACAGGAATATGCCAGCACTATCCAGGATTCCTTTCGAAAATCCTTTCGCAATTCCTTCCGCAAATTCTTCGAGAAGTCACTGGACGACGACGAGAACGAGCTCTGCTTCCGCGTCACCACGACCAACCTGCCGTTCGGCAAGTGTTTGGACAGGTGGTCAACCACATTCGCGGATCACTTCATCGAGAATCTCGAGGAGCCTGATCGTTTCATCTTCGAGGATTACATGGATAGGAGCAACAAGGTAAACGTCAGGCGATCGGCTGGCCCGATGTGCTATGACAGCTACGAGGAGGAACCCACTGTGCCTCGGTTGACCAAGGTGAGATTCGTGATCGAGTCATCTCGCTCCCCGACTCCAGACCATGAACTGGACAACGATGTCGTCTGTGACAGCTTGCAGAGTATCGATCCTCCGAAGAAAGAAGAGGAGGTCAGCTGGAACCGTGGCTCTTCCGTGCAATTGACTGACATCACGGACAATACGGATTGCAGAGACACGAGCGAGGTTTTTGGCGGAGGGCAAGGGTGTAAGGAAGAACCCGACGAGTTCGGTGACGTACCCTTTAGCTCGATTTTGAAGACACGGAACGGTTCGGTCGAATGGTGTTCCTTGGAGAACGCGACGAGCTTTATCGAGACGATAGATAAGGGATCAGAGGACGATCGTGTTAATTCGAACAATTCGAGCCGCGATTCGACCGGATTCGATTCGCCGGACGAGTCGTTTCATTCGGCGTGGACGCTGAGAAAATTGAAAATCGCGGACGTCAGCAAAGCGGAGTTGAGTTTAATCAAGTCGAAAACCGAGTGCCGTTCTGTGTTCGCTGGGATCAGGGACGATTGCTGGAATAGGCCGCCTGAGGATAACGGTTTTGCGTGGGACACTGTTCCAAATAACGTGGAAGACAATAAAGAATCTGTAGACGAAAGGGATTCGACCAATGAAACCTGTGAGCATGTAAACAATGTCACGAGCAGTGAGCTTATTTCAGAAGCCAAGAACAGGATAGACGATGACATCTACGAGTTAATCAGGAATAAGGTAAACGGCAATTTTATTGAGCAAAGTCCAATGATTCGTGAAGAAGAGTGGATACAGGCTAGTGAGCAAAAATCGACAATAAATAAGACAAATGTCTGCGACGAAGAATTGATAACAAATGAAGTAGAGAGTAGCCTTACGAAGGAACATTTAGTATCCAATAAAATAGAGACTAAAATTAGCGAAACAACGTCGTCAGCTGAAGGAGACGAGGGTATTGACGAGCAACAGGAAACAGAGGTCCGTTCATTCGATAAATCCACGGGTGAGTACCGCAGGAAGCTCTTCGTGAACGAATCTTTGCGAAACTTGACGAATCATTGCGATTTCTTGGCGAGTGATTCCGATAACCAGAGTCAGGATTCCGACGTGAAAGACGATAATTTGGCCACTTGCGATACTCCTTTGAATGTAGATTTAAGAAAATCCCCACACTTAACCAGAGAAGACGAGGAAGACGAGGTACCAGATATTCCAATGATTCCAAAATTACCCCCAAAGACGCAGAGTAATTTCTTAGACGACGAATTCCTCGAGACGAAAGGAAATATCAGTGTACCAGTTAGCATTCGACGAAACTCTTTCCTGGAAAATATGCTATCGGACGACACAGATCAGACGTGGACCAGCTGCAGAATCATCGCTGCTCATCCAAAATCATCGGTAACGCAGGAAGAATCGAAGGACAGAAGAGAGAACACGCTTGTAACTCGGTTGAACGAGTCGATCAAAATGGATTCGGAGATCCAGAGGATTTTGCAAGAGTCGAAAGAGTCGTTGAAAAGGATCGAATCCACTTTACCGAGCTCGACGATACCCAAGAAGGTAACTGAAACGAGCAAGAAAAGCGCTGGTGAGGTAAAGTGCGATGTGCTGAACGAGTTGCTCGTCAATTTTAGCAACATTAGATTGAAACCGGTGAACAGCGAGAAGAGGCATATCCTAGAAGATCATATAGAGGTAACAATCTCCTCTCACGAGAAAAACGGCAAGGAAGAAATCGAATTACGGTCAGACAGTCACGACAGAAGCTTCAGAGTACGTAACAGCGATTCATCAATGGAGACTACGAAGAAGACGAAGGAGACCAACGAAACGTTACATCTAAATCCCAAAGCTTCTATGGCTAGCCAGTGGCAGTATGCTGCTTCTCTGACGACGAGAAAGATCCAGGACCAGGAAAGGAATAAGTGCAACGAATCATCAGAAAAACCCTGTGTCAGCTCCTCGATCAGCGCTACGACTAACATAGAACCCATTAATTTTCACGAAACCCCCAAGAACCGCGAGGCTTCATCAGATCGCGACGAAGACATGCCAGAGACAGGCCTAAAGAGAGACGAGGGAACCAAGAACGAGGATCATTCAGCACCAACGAGGAACGTGACCAAGCTTCACGTCGAGTGGACGCAACGTGACGCTGTCGAAAAAGTGTCTGACGACGTGAGCAGCAGAGGAGCGACAGAGAGCTCCTTGGAATGTCTGCAGAAGGCAGTCTGCAGCGAAAAGACTGACGCGAAAGACGAGTCGCATAATCGTGGCGCGATCGCGCGACAGTTAGACTTAAGCATGAGGACGGGTAGCGGCGACAAGAGTGCCATAGCTAGGAGGATTTCTCGACCCCATTGTAATAATAATGACAATAACAGGGCCGTAACACCCGTAGCTGTAAGTGATGACCAATCCCGCGACACTGTAACGATAACCCCGGGTAGAGTTAGGAGCTTCATTAAATACTACGAGATTCGACGCGAGGCGACGACCGACAAAGATTCTAAAACTAACGATAGAGTAGATAGGGACCGGGTGCCGGAACACGGGTCGGTGTACAGCATCCGTAGAGGCCTGGAAGCGAGGGCCAACGAGGCTAGGTCCTTCGACGGGCAGAGGAAGGACAATCGTCACTTGCCAATCGCTGACAAAGATTCTAGAAGGTCTATCGGCTTGACCAGGATGGACGTGAAGAGTCCGACGACCGTGGAGAAGTCTCGAACGGAGGATTCGAGCGAACTCGACGATAGCGTTGCAGATGGCGCAGCGGACGGTCGCGTGGAAGCGAAGATGGCGCTGACGCACGTGTCGCCCGCGATGTCTCCCAGTGACTCGAACACGCGTCCTGGCAAGGCGAAACGAAAGAAGTCTGTGAAATTTCAAGGTGGTTTCACTGTGATCGGTGCGAGATGTCCAGACGAAAATGGCTCCGCGGGGAGTCCCGCGGGTCAGACCGAGGACTTGATAGAAGAGAAGAGGGCTCCCGATAGACTGACGCTGAAAGAACACGTTCTCGAGCAGCGAGTGGATTTCCACAGTGGGCAACAAGAGGGGCTGCAAGCTGACTCACGAGCTTTCGAGCACCGAGAAACTGCTGCTCAGGTTAGTGATGAATTTAATTGGGACGGGTTGGCTTTGGGTTAGGTTTCGGTCTTAAACCTTTGCACTCGAGAGACCACCCTCGGTCGCCACTTGGAAAAATTCGGAGGATCGATAGTGGATATTAAATTTCAAATAACGTATAAAAGACACAAATAAAGGGGTACACTACTTGCTGAAAATGTTATTAACTTTATATAACAGGAAAGCTACGAGTTGCTATTTCAATGAATTTATATCGTTTTCACAAGTGCAAAGGATTAATTCAATAGACCAGGGTTTCTTAACCTCGTTTAGCTTGTGGTTTTCCTTTAGATATCTGTATACTTTATGGTCTCTCATCCCTAGTTTCTTCGTATCTACCAAAAGTTTGAATTTATGAGAAATTATATTGATATTTGTACCGTGGTCTTACGAGACCTAATAAATCTTTCGTTTTTCCACGTGACATCCAAAAATTCGGTGTCGAGCCCTCTGGGGTGCCATATGGTCCCTGTTAAGAAACCCTGGACTAACCTAACTTTGATCCTTTTAAACATGGATTTTCGTAATTGATCATGGTGTATAGAAATTTTATTAGATATTCGAGTAAAATTTTAATTAATTTTTAATCTGACTCGATTAATTTCTAACTTAAAAAATGTTAATAATTAAATTTTATTAGTATTTATATTTCAATTTATCGATTTATTCTTTATGACTTCTATGAACTTCAAGATGCTGTTTAAATTTTGCTTTTGAAATTAATTCTTTCTTATAAATCTTTTTATTATAAATCATATTTTGCATTAACGTGATTCTCGAATTATTTGCTCGTCAATTTTCGTATACTAATAGTAAAACAGTGATCAATGGAATATTTTCGAGCAAATGAAGTTCGCGCGACGAGAGTGTTTTGCAAACAAGAAATTACAGAGTAATTTATTTCGAGTCACAGTTATTTCAAGTTAGATTACATTAACCCTAAATTAAATCTGTTCACGCGCATGTGCTGAAAATAACAGGAAGTAACCATCTGCTTAACTTTTTCCCCGCAGATACAAGCCGCAGCGAAATGTGAGGATTGTTCAGGTATTAATCGCTTCGTTCCAAAACCAGAAACCCCACGCCTCGTATTTTATTGTACTGTATAGTTTAAAACGTAGTTTCTAAAAGTCATCGTCGTCGTTTCCCACCCGAATCTCGACGAGGTTTCACCGCGACGCTTCGTAGCGTCTTAGCTAAATTAAGTCTTTTCCATACGTTTCTTTTGAGCCTAAACAGAAGAACAGATTTTAACACTGCCTCGCGAGAGACCGTAGGTGATGTAATGAAATATATCTCTGAAATATATTCCTGGATAATTTATCATTGCCAAAAATAATTTTGCAGAAAGTATAATTGTGGAACACAGCATTGGAATGAATACAAATTAAATAACAGTTGAAAGATGATTGGTATCAAAGAATCTTTTGATATAAATAATTGATACGCAAATTTCGTTAACTTTTTTCAAAGAAAAATTCGTAAAAACGAAATAACCAGAGAATAATGTAAAAGCTATGTACTCGATGTCTTCTAAATAATATTTAAATCAAATAATAATTGGAAGATAGTCAGTAACAATTTATCGAAGCATTTCTAGGAATAAATAACTAATTCACGAATTTTATTCATTTTTTCCCAAAATGTAAAAAATCGATCTCAAAAATAATACTGAATTGTTGTAAACACAATTATATTAAATTGTCCAAGTAGAATTAAATTAAATAATAATTGGAAGATAGTTAATATTTATTATTATTTCCCAAAAATACACCCATTCGCACCTATAAAAATAATAAATATACAATAACAATAAACAAAAAACGAAATACAAATTCAACTCAGTCTAACCCAAAAATATTAACAAACCAACAATCCTAAACCCATTCGATCAAAATCAAACCTGCTACATCGTCACAAATAATCCTCATACCTGCACCAATCTCACCAATCACACGAAACCTCCAGCAAATCGCCAAGAACGTAATTGTCAAGGCAACGTAACAACATCGGTGAACGATCTTAAGCCGTGGAATCTGCGAAGCAAAGGATAATCGCGTGTTTCCAAATGGTTTGCCAGGTGCCACGAAGGGAAAAGGGAGATTTCTGCGAAATTTCGTCCGTTTAAGCCACTCTCCTCTCTCGATATACCCAATAACGTTGGACAGATGGCGACCAGCGAATGTTCCGTTCTCTCCCGGAAGGATTTAGAGTTATCGCGGGGGTTACAAGCAGATTTTTCGGTCAAGCGCATTAGCCCACGGTCGGGAGCCGTCTTTCCCTTCAGGATTTACTCCACGTCCTTCCTCCTCGTCGTTTCTTGCATCATTTTGTCCGACTTATTTTACGTGTTTTCGGATAATGGGGCTTCGCTAGATTTACGGCCCCCTCGACGAGGCCATGGAACAAAAAGCGCCGACGCGATTTGTGGCTTCGCTCCTGATCGGTATTTCTTGCGTAACGTTACGTTTCCGCGGTGAAAAATTTCGTGCTACTCTTTCGAATAAAATTGCAGACCGGGGAATCGGTGAAATCGAATTTTTTATCGATTTTTGGCAGGTTTTCGTAATGGTGATCTTTGAAGCGATTTTTCGGCAGGATCGACTTGCTTTGGGTTGGTTGAGTACGATTGTGGGGGATGATTGATCGGTGTTCGTGGTAACAGATAAAAATTTAATCGAGGGATTTAGTTAGGAAAGAATTATGGTCGAGGATTAAATATGTAATGAAATTATCTGGTTGAAAATATTTTGTAGGACGAGGATTGTTGTGAAATATTGAAGAAATCCAGTTCAGATTCGACAAATTATAGAATAATAAAAAATTATAGAATATAAAATTGGAATTTTATATTAGAATAGTTTGAATTGATATTAAAATCACTGTTTTATGCTTTTACGTCAGTAAAGTACAATTCTGATTTATTTAAGAAATAAATTAAATAATTTGATAAATAAAGTATGAATTACAGTTCAAAGTAAACAAAGTTCTAAAGATTGGATAGAATGGTGCAAATATTGGAAGTTTTAAATGAAGTTAATCGAATATTTGTGATAAATCTTCGATTTGTTTAAATTATTAATAAAAACGATCAAATATATATGAAATATTACTACAGTATAACTGTCGAGGTATAAATAATAAAATCGTTGCGAATATCGAGAGTTTCGTGTTACGAGCAATTGAAACTAAAATCACTGCAATTCACTTTTTCAATATTGCAATGTTTGATAGTATCTAAAAGCTCGGTACCATATATATTTCAAAATGTTTGATAAACTATTTATTCCTCGAAACAAAAAGCAAACAAGATAACAGTTGTTGTGGATTAGAAAACTGTTGCAAAATTGAAAATACGTGTTTAATGATTAGCAATGAATCAACGATTTATTGCTTTAAATATAGATCGTGAAAATTTCGTGTTAAAAACAATTGGAATAATTTTTTGAAAAGTTTTCAAAATTGTAATGAGGATATCCAAACTTTTCTCTTTTGAAATACGAAATAGAGATAGTAATAGTAACAAAAGATGGATCAGTGTAATAGCGTGTAATCTACTCTTGAACATCATTCCATTAATGAAAATACGTTCAACGAGTAACGATTCATTTGTTTAATCGTAAATAACGAGAATTTCGATATGGAAGCAATTTCAAGCAGGATTAGCACGATTCGCATTTTCAAAATTGCAATGGAAAATCAATGGAGCTTGATTTCTGAATTACCCTCATGCCTCGAAATATTCAATAAAACCCTTGTTTCACGAAACAGAATATAAAGATAATAACGAAACATGTCACTGATATTGTACCTATAACAACTACCCCTATATTTCAAAACAGTTTCATTAATAAATGAAATTCAAGGATCAGCAATTTATTCGCCTAATATTTTTCCAGATAATATTTATGTTTAATTAGTATTTGAAATTATAATTAGATCACAATTTTTAACTTCATTAAAACCACCCTTATCAAAATTGGTCCACTAAAAAATACTCAATGTCTAGCACCCAGCAATTTATTTAATTATTTCTAAAATAATTATATTTGAATCTAATTCATAATCATAATATATAATCCCCATCACAATTTATTATTTTGTAACAAATTACTAATAAAAATACCAGCAATTTATTCGCTTAATATTTTCCCAAATAATATTGGTAATTAATAATATTGGTGCTTAATAAAATAATATTAATCACGATTCACAATTTTATAATAACTACTCTTTCACTAATAAACAGTTCCATTAACAAAAAAATATTCAACAACAAACAACCAGTAATTCATTCACCAAATAATTTCCAAAGTCTACATACACGAAAATAATTTAGAATCGTCTTAAAAATTCAGAAGGGTTCCAGATAATATTTATGTTTAATTAGTATTTGAAATTATAATTAGATCACAATTTTTAACTTCATTAAAACCACCCTTATCAAAATTGGTCCACTAAAAAATACTCAATGTCTAGCACCCAGCAATTTATTTAATTATTTCTAAAATAATTATATTTGAATCTAATTCATAATCATAATATATAATCCCCATCACAATTTATTTTGTAACAAATTACTAATAAAAATACCAGCAATTTATTCGCCTAATATTTTCCCAAATAATATTGGTAATTAATAATATTGGTGATTAATAAAATAATATTAATCACGATTCACAATTTTATAATAACTACTCTTTCACTAATAAACAGTTCCATTAACAAAAAAATATTCAACAACAAACAACCAGTAATTCATTCACCAAATAATTTCCAAAGTCTACATACACGAAAATAATTTGGAATCGTCTTAAAAATTCAGAAGGGAAATTAAATTAAAAAATTCTAAGCGATACTTTAAGCCACCCCTTTGGCACAGGATAAAATCACTAGATTACAATTTTTATCTTGATTAAAACTACCCTTATAAAAATTGGTCCACTAAAAAATACTCAACGTCTAGCAACTAGCAATTTATTTATTTAATTATTTCTAAAATATTTATATTTGAATCTAAC